CCGATTGGTGACGACAGCCGTCGTCGCGGTGCTTCAAAGGTTTAATCTCTAGACACGTGGACTGTCTTGACAGTGGAGATGCGTCGAATACAGCGATGGAATTATCGGTCCAAAAGTTGTGCTCTGGGCATCGTCTTTCGGTACGTGTCGATGTGCACGACCAAGAATGAATTCGACGGATTCGACCCGTGTCCGAGCTTTATCCGTAAAACGGCCCGGGGCGACCGTTTAACGGATAAAGCTCGAGTGCAACAGCGATAATGCGTTCCCCGAGGCGCCGGGACGTCGACCGTTCCAATGGCACGCGAAAACAATTACCCATAATAATTATCCACTAAGTGGCGGAGTGAGAAAAAGTTCGAAGGTCGGGAGACCTTACCCGGTCGCCCCTCGGGCGAATTCGAGGAATCGCACGCGATTCGCAAGCTAATCGCCGACCGAGCTACCGGTTGCAGGATTCCTGCAATGACTAGGTAGCTTCTCGGAATCGGCGACAACTGAGGAGCTCCCCAGGATTTTCGCTAATCGGATTCACTGGAAGGTCCTCGCTCGACCTCGCTTAAGGGGACGTGAAAGTGGCACCCGAAAGCTCAATCGTTCATAAAACTTTTCTCCGAACTGGGTGCCTCAAATCGTTTCATACTTTAAAACGTGAATATGGATACCCTAAGGTAGGTCCTGAAATTCGGGAAATATCATTTTTTATAAACTATTTTTAAAATACCTATAAACAAATTAGAAAAGAATTGAATATTTCGTGAGTTCCAGGACCTTCCTTATAGTCATCCTATTCACGTTGTAAAGTTTCAAACTATTCGGTAAACCTAGTTAGGAGAAAAGTCTTATAAACAAAACCTCCGACGCCACTTTCACATCCCCTTAACATTTTAGGTTAGGTTCCTGGGATACTTTTGACCAAATCAACGTTTCAGACGCCGCGGTACCGAGTATTAGCTCGATTGTCGATTAACAGGAAGAGAAATGGAGGTTAAGAGTGGAAGTAAGGTGGAAGTCTATCGTGTACAGACTGATTGTAACACCGCGTAACTCGCGGGCGCAATCAGAGGTTAAGCATCTCGTAGAGGTATCGCGTCTTAAAGCTGGACGTCCGCGAGAAGGCACGTGTCTATCAATATCGATAGCGGGCCCGAAGCCTCGCAGAAAAGGAAATTGTATCGGGGCAAATAATTCTGATCGCGGGAGAGCACATGTAGGCCAATGATTGGCCTTTTTAGGTTAAGGTTGCAGCAGAGGCGACGCCGATAACGGCCGGAATGCGACGTCGTTAATCTCGTTAACGTAACTCGAGGATTCACCCGGCATGTACCCACTCGAATCGCTATATTGAGAAAAGTTTCCGCATAAAAACAAGCCCTGAGGTTGCCGAGTTAATTTTAACTCTATCTAATCGACCTCGGTACGGTTTGGATCGCGTAAAGTAATTCTAAGCATATTTCGGAAAAAAGGACTCAGCGCGCTGCGCTCAACCCCTTAACTTGTGCACTCGAGATAATTCCAGCGGCGTTGTATTTTATGCTACTATAATTTTTCACCCTCGAATATAATCCAGAATTTTATTTTTCTGGCAAGACAATGTTCTAGTGTCTCCTTTTTACGTAAAAAAAAATTGATTTTTATTGGCCGACTTTTTTTCAAAAAATCTGTGCGTTAAGGGGGGAACATTCGAAGTCAGCCCAAGAGATATCGCGTCCTCTCTTCCGTGTTCTCGAAGCGTCTTCGAAGGTCCTGGGAGGTCTTCGGAGGTCCTGGAACCCTTCGAAATGCGTTCCTGCGGAACTACCTGATGCACCGGGGCCTGGCGTAGGAAATCCGTAGCTATTAACGAGGATCCTTTCTCGGAAACTCGACGCGATCGGTATAGATCATCCGAAGTGGCGATCTCCCCGGGGCCTCAAGGCCCCCTTATACCTGCATCTACCTGTCCACTAGGCACGAGGCAGGAGTCTCGGCCGTTCGCATCGTTCCCAAGTGAATCACGCCCGACGTACGGCTCGAACCGGGTCGAAGAGGTTCCACGTGAGAACAAAAAGTGCGCCAAGAACAGAGACCAGCCTCGAGTCATGGCCATGTGCCCACGCGGTGAACTTCGAGAATCCTCGTGTGCGCTAAATTAATATAAGCGGTTGGAACCAATCTTCGATTACTTCGAGGTAAAACGAAAAGGGTTGGCGCATTCTTAAGGTGAAGTGAAACCCCCTTCAAATCAGTCGATTCGAACACAACAATTTTTTTTAAGGGTATTGGACCAAACTGTCCGAAACTTTGACAAGTCACTCCTGATCGTCTAAGAATTGTCCTGGCACATTGAAAATTTGGATTTTTGGAAAACATTTTTTAATTCAGCCCAGACTAGAACCAAAATGACGTCGAGCTGTCATATTTCGATCGATATACAATTATCGAAGGCTCTGATATGAGAAACAAAAGGGTCAGGACAATTTAGGGCCCCAGAAAGCACGAATCCAGAGGATTTCTGGAGTTTTACTTCGATTTCTTGATATTTATTGTACGAAAACGACAGGTGGAGTATGCAATTCGGTACAATACCCAATATAATTCGACCCAGCTGTCGATATAAAAACGAACATCGGCAACGTAGGCATTTAGAAAAATCTTCTTTATCGACGTCGATCAAGTTCCTCGACGTGTTTCACTTCACCTTAATGGTTCCGTTTTCAAAATTAATATGAATGGTTAGAATCACTCGACTCCTCCGGGTTAGGACGGGAAGGGTTGATGTGTTGTGGTTGGTTCCGTTTTCTAAATTAATATTTAATTAATCAGGCCCATTTCCCTCGCATTCTGGGTTAGTAGGTAAAGGGTTGGTACCTTCTAGATGGTTCCATTCCCCAGGAGCCTTGACTCGGAAGGGAACAGGTTCCCAAGTGGAGATGTCGAAAGCTGTCCTGGAGGTTGCATCGGAACGATTTGAAGGGTTCCCGGGTGACTCACCCCCATCGGAGGAAGGGGATGATTTAAGGAGGAAGTAATGCATCATTTCCGTTCGCGATCCCTTTTGCATCCTTAATATGCGCGGCTGTTTGCTTGTACATTTTGCCCCCGGATCGCCGGCGTGGTTCCCAAGTGATTCACCCTTCTTGCTCATCGGGGATGCGCGGAAAGGGGAGGAAGTCGGGGCATAGAATTGTCTTAGGTATGGGATGGAAACTGTAATTTTTTTCCTGGAAGAAAATGCATCTTTTAGAACGCCAAGGATGCCCAACTCGTGGCGGATGCATTTTCGAAACGAGGTTCCAGTTAATACCGGAGAACCGAGTCCGAATCGGAGTGCAGGATTATTTGGGAGTACCGGTCGGCTGCAATTGACATGTCCTTATTAGGATAGGTCAGGTGCCGCTGGACCGGCACGCTGTTGCCAGATGCATCGTAATTGCAGTACCGCACGGTAATTCCACGGAGAGGCCTCGCCGGATGATCCCCGCCGAGTCGTTACTTAAGAGCGGATAATCGTTCCCACAAAACGAAATTCCCCCCTCCGTTGGACGGTAAACGACGTTGCGAAACGCTCACCCTCGTTTCTGCCGGCTTTTTGCGTCGATTAAGAGCCCCGGAGAGGATTTAATTCCGCAGAAAATCGAGAAAAAGAAATCTAGACCGATGTCATTTCCACCCCGAGTCGAACACCCGATTTCCAGGAGTTTTCTCAGGATTTCAAATATTTTCATACAAGCAGGAGGCTCGAAATCGTCCGAGCCCACTTTAACGGATATCGCGCCCATCTTTTCCATTATGCTCGAAGCATCCCGATCGAGGGTTCGGGGAAAGGGAAACGACGTCCCGGGAAATACTCCGAAAGAGGAAAGGTGTCATCGACCTCGGATACCGTGAGCGAGAGGAGGGAGAAAGAGAGAGAGAGAGAGAGAAAGACGGATTCGATCGGCGCTTGACCTGCCCCAACCCTCGTCTTCCCGGCCGCCACCTGGACACCCCGCCTAAAAAGAAGCTTTCACAGGTGCAGGTGCGCGACCTGCCCTTTTCTACCTTTCTAATGGTGGAGGTTCAAGGATACGTCCCTTTCATCCATGAATTTTCGATAGGAACGGAGAGATACTCGTGGCCGGTCCCACTCGTGTGGGTCCAGGGTCGCGACCTACCCCACGACCCTGCAGCGGGCCGAGCCCTCGGGCGCGTCCGTCCCGTCCGGCGGCCGAGAGGCGTCTGGCGGCGGCGGCGCGGGTGCTGCTCACCCCGGGCCAGCGACCCGCGTCCCCACCAGGGGGTTCCGGGCCCGGCGTGGAGCGGGCCCCCACCGCCGGCCGGGCCAGCTCGGCGCCGGTGCCGGCGGTCGAGTGTGTGACAGCGAGTGGCGGCGACCGCGTGGCCCGCGGGCCAGGGCCCGCCCTCGCACCCCGGCCTCACCCACCACCCCGACGTATGACCCATACTCTGCCCCCACCGGCGGGCCGCGGGCCCCCACCGCCCGTCCCACGGCCGCGGCCTGCGGCTGATGAGTCACTATATAAGACAGCAAGGACAAGAAGGTGTATGTTAGTACACACTCATTCCTCTCGTGGTTCGCACCGTCGATTCGGTGGTGAACGCCGGGCCCCAGCTCTCGCCAAAGACACGCCGTCCGACACCTCGAGCGCGGTCGTCGCAGAGTACGATTGCGAGTGCCGAGAGTCGGTCGGAGGGAACAGCGGCCGATGACAGTCCCCGGATCCCCGACCTGGAGCATCGACTGAGAAGCGAGCCCCACGTGGCAGTGCACCCGGGCCCGAGCCCCGCCGAAGGGCTTCCACGCGACCGCCTCCTCCCAACTCGTGGCCGATAACTCGGCCCCGGTTGCTGGGGTTTATCGGCACGATAAACGCCGAGTCGAGCTCGGGGTATCGCACTTCGCGCAGTCGCCGAGACGAGACAGGGCGGGAGCTTTCGGGAGCTGCAACGCGCGGAGCCCTAGGGCCCAGGATTGACTATCCCGCGACGGGCCCCTTAGGGCACTTCCGGACGACGGGATGCTCGTCGAACACGCTGTCCAGTGGATGTGGAGGGCCATGGGTGGGTCCAGGCTCGATGTTCTCTACACCCTTCTTGTGTTCCTGGCGGTCCTCGTCGCCGTCAGGTGCGCGCAGTGGATCCGGTGCCTCAGGTCCCTGCCCCCTGGCCCTTGGGGTATCCCCGTCTTCGGGTATCTGCCGTTCCTCAAGGGCGACGTGCACCTGCAGTTCGGGGAGCTCGCCAAGAGGTACGGCTCCATGTTCAGCGCAAGGTTGGGCACTCAGCTGATCGTCGTCCTCAGCGACTATCGCACCATCAGGGACACCTTCCGCAGGGAGGAGTTCTCCGGCAGGCCCCACACCGAGTTCATCAACATCCTCGGTGGCTATGGTGAGTCCGACTTCGGGGACCGACTTTGGCCCTTTCTCGAGTTCTCTGAATGCCCTTCGAAAAGTCACCTCTTCCGAATCGGGGACCAAAGACGACGTCCACTACTTGGAACGAAATCAAAGAGTACGAGAGATCGTTCCCCAGTGATAACTCGGGTCTCGGAAATTGTTATCTCGCGCTTAACGTTAAGTGACGATTCGAGTGATGGTCGCGCCGGGAGATGAGCGCTTTTTTTCACGAGGATCGAAATTGAGGGTGGTCGTATCGTTTCCAGGTATCATCAACACCGAGGGTGCCATGTGGAAGGACCAGAGGAGGTTCCTTCATGATAAACTCCGAAGCTTCGGGATGACGTACATGGGCGCTGGGAAGAAGATCATGGAGTCCAGAATCATGGTACGTCCAGATTTCTTCGATCCCGGCTTGGGTGGTTATTTTTTGTTGCGATTTTTTTTTGCAACCGGGTTGTTCAAAATCCGATCTTCTTGTTTTAGAGAGAAGTAGAGACGTTCCTTCGAGGTCTGTCACTGCGTCGAGGGGCTCCAACCGACGTGTCTCCGTCTTTGGGCATGTCCATCAGCAACGTCATCTGCTCCATCATCATGGGCGTCAGGTTCCACCACGGGGACACCAGGTTCAAGCGTTTCATGGACCTCATCGAAGAAGGCTTCAAGCTGTTCGGCAGCATCGTGGCTGTAAACTTCATCCCGGCGATGAGGTACCTCCCCTGCCTGCAGCGTGTCAGGAACAAGATCTCGGAAAACCGCGCGGAAATGGCGGACTTCTTTCAAGAAACGGTCGACCAGCACCGCGCGACCTTCGACGAGAGCAACATCCGCGACCTGGTGGACGCGTATCTCCTGGAGATCCAGAAAGCCAAGGCCGAAGGTCGCGAGGCTCTCCTCTTCCAGGGAAAAAATCACGGTAAGCATCTCATCGTATCGATAAGGACCACTTTGGTCTTGAGACACCTTCTAATCCAAGTTCCCGTAAACGCTCTGAAATCCTGATCTGATGGAAATCCTATTTTGTCCACCAGACCGACAGATGCAACAGATCCTGGGTGACCTCTTTTCCGCGGGAATGGAGACCGTAAAGACTACCTTGGAGTGGGCGGTGATCTTGATGTTGCACCATCCGGAAGCTGCGAAGGCCGTCCAGGAAGAGCTGGACCAGGTGGTAGGACGATCGAGGATGCCGGCATTAGAAGACCTGCCATTCCTCCCGGTCACCGAGGCGACGATCCTGGAGGTCCTGCGACGATCCAGCATCGTCCCTCTGGGAACCACCCACGCGACCACACGGTAAGTCCACCCTACCATCACCGAACCCCGAGAAATGTTGAAAGATCCATCAATACCTTCCAAAAAAACTCTGGATCTTCGATGTTCCTCCAGAGAATGTCCATCTTTATCCTTGGTCTCCTTTGATTTCAGCGACGTGACGTTGAACGGATTCACGATACCGGCAGGGTCGCAGGTGGTGCCTCTTCTGCACGCCGTCCACATGGACCCCGAGCTCTGGACGGAACCCGAGGAGTTTCGTCCAGCTCGGTTCCTCTCCGCCGAGGGGAAGGTCTGCAAGCCGGAGTACTTCATGCCCTTCGGGGTTGGGAGGCGCATGTGTCTGGGGGACGTCCTGGCGCGCATGGAACTGTTCCTCTTCTTCAGCTCGCTGGTTCACACCTTCGACTTGCGGTCTCCAGAAGGCGCAGAACTGCCCAGTCTGCGTGGGAACGCAGGTGTGACGGTCACGCCTGACCCGTTCAAGGTGTGCCTGCTTCCGCGCAACCTGGAGCCTGGCCACGATCTGCTGGACCCCTGCCCAGAGAGCAGCGGCCCCCTCAGGAACGTCGGCAGCCATTGAGCCGGGACCAGCCACGAATGGTCCCCTTGGCTCTCGAGGGTCCATCCTGGCTCGGAGCACGGTATTCTTGTTCCTAATCGGTTCGAAGCGGTCTCGTCGAGAGGTGAGCCTTGGGACGGATCCCGGCCACGATGGGCAAGATCGGTTCCACTCTCGCAGACTCCTGGCGAAAGGATTCAGTGCCATTCCGTTGGAGAGCGCGACGAGACGCGGCGAACCCGAAGCGTCCGTCCGCGTCCAAGATGCGTGATCTAGGTGTATATAAGATTGATAGAGGGGAGATTTAGAAGGAGCCAGGTCCAGGTTCCCAGACGATGATCCCAGGGTGGATCGAACCGCGGTATCGACAGCCAGGTCGAACCGCGTCATGGATCTAGATTTTTAGCTTAGGCGGAGATTACGGATGCTGGGATACTGGACCTGGGATGACGTGGAGGAAGAGATAGTTCGACGGGACCGTCGACCGCGACCAAATCTCGAGCCTGGCGAACGCTCGGCGCACCTAAAGACTTCTTTCCCACTTGACCCTCCAGCCGCGAGGCAGAGTACAAAAGGAGCCCCGGGTCGATCCCGCTCGTCCATCCCGCCGCCATATTTATTTATCACTACGTTTTAACTCGCATCTATTTATTCGCTCGCTAAGTCAATCGCCGACCAGCCGCGGCCCATGGTCCGCCTTAAGCTCCTCCACTCTGCGGTTGGACAGCACTCTGGCCAAATACAATGTGTTCACAATTGTGGGGTACAGGACGATCAGGATCTCCGCCGTCGAGTCTGCTCCTTTTTCACGGAGAAAGGGGAATCGCAAATCTCTGCGGGATTTCAAGGGGACCAATGGACTTCGAGATCCTCTCGAATCGAGTCCATCCCTGGAAATCTGCAGAGGATCGTGGACCCAATCGGTGCCGCACAAAATCGGTCTTGGTCTTGGTCTTGGTCTCGCATGTAATCATGTTCACACTTTCTGCGAGATAAAGACCGGGCCCAAGACTCTGCTCCTCGGTGGCCCAAATGGTCCGACCAGGCGGCGACAATCTCCGATCGCTCTGTACACGTTCGATGCACTTGCATTGCGCAATTGTGCGCCTACCGGAAGGGGGATCGCCGAAGATCCTCGAAGAAGGCGATCGGTGGTCCGATATCACCGCGACTCCCCACTCGCGGAGGACTAAGGCCCCTTCAGCAGCGCGCGAAGTCGTCGGGCCCAGGTCCGGTAGAAGGCGCGCTGTCGGCCAGGCATTTCGCGGTGCGCCTCCACCTGTGCCCCAAATCAACGTTAACCCCCCTTAGCCCGTCTTTTCTTCCCAACTCGAACAGTGGACCCCCTGAGGGAGACTTTTATTTCCCCCATCCTAGTTATTCCGAGTCGACTCGGTACAGAGGGTGACTCGATTTGGGACGCACAGGTTGGGGCTGTCCACCGGGTGCGCTGTCATGTATTTATATTTCAGTGGGAGAGAATCAGACATGGCGGGAGGATGACGACGCCGATTGGGCACGTCGGTCTAGCGACGTCGCCCTCGTCGTCGTCCTCCCTGGCCATTGGTCATCGAATTTATATCGACGCGAAGTCGGTCGCCCTTTCGATAAGCGCCGCGAGGCGCCACCCCGCGCTGTGTTCATCCTCGATCGCTCGCCTATCCGCGAGCCATAGTTAGTAGCGTTATTTAATATTTTTCTACGAGACGTGTGTAATAAAAGCGATATTTTCAAAGTCAACCGAGTCATGTGTCAGTGCCTACCCTACCGTCCTTTCCAAGGTATAGAAAAATCCACCAATAGGCATCGAACCGAGTAGACTAAAACGAGCTCTGGTCGCAATTCGAGTTCGGGACATCTTAAGTACTTAATTAGTTTGGAATTTAATCCACGTTCGGTACGATCCATTTTCAAGGATTCGAGGGATCCTTGGCATTTGGTGGAAGAGGCGGAAGTGCAAGTCGAACTTCCGACGCGTCCGCGAGGTGGTCGAAGAAAATGGCGGCGGGCCTTCGGGTCGGCCTCGAGGCGTCCCCTACCGGTTTCTTCCTCGAGAATCGCTCGAGGCCCGCGAAAGAAGCGGGCCTAGCTTTCTCTTCGAGTGTGGCCAATCGCGACTCGTTCGATAGGACACTTTTCCCCATTGATGTCTGGCCAAGACCGGCCGAATCTCCTGTCGCGCGAAAATTGCAAAACGAATGGAGGATCTCCCCGAGGCGGCGCGTTAAAGCAGGATTCCGAAGGAAAACGGGGGTCGAGAGGGTTTCTTGGGGAGAAATTGGAATGCGGGAGGAGAAATGGGTCCTTTTAAGTCCTTTAGGAGGTCTGGACGGCATTTTTGTCCGTCGACCCAAACCAAGGGCGCGCTTCCGTTGGATGACCCTCGTCCTCGTACACATCGCTGCGCTGGTGCACAACGCGGCTCGCATTACCCACTTACATAAGAGAAACTCGCGCGGTTTCTAACGAAATATCGGCGATCTCACGCGGCTCCGTAAGGTTAACGACACGAAAGCCAGGTGGCCCCAAACCACACGCGGAGGCCTTACGTAACGTTTGCTCGGTCCGGGTGCGAACGTATTTGATTTAAGCGTCTTTCCTGCCGATAACGGCGGGCCCGATGAGAAACGAGCTCGCCGAAGTGGCAGGCACCCCGAAAGAAGCCGATAAAGCGACCTCGTACACTTAGGTAACCCTGATTATTCCAGTCTACAAGGAACGTTCCAGGAGCCAGCGCTCCACCTCGCGGCGCCGCCATCTTGGAAAATCCGAACGCACGGGCGGCGTCGAATTCCCCGAGAGAGAGGTAGAAAAATGAAGGACAGTGAGATGTGTTTATCCCTTTTTAAACGTCCTAGTCTGGTCTGGGCCTCTTTTTCTAGAAACGGGTGGTGATTTGAACGCCTGGGAGGTACCTTAATTCTGGTCCGCGGTCTTCGGAGGGTCCTTTGATTGACGTCTTCGGCGGATCCGCCTTCCCATTCGACATTCTTCTCCTTGGGATAGGAGGCGCGAAGTTCGCCCCAAAAAAGAAAAGAAGCCGACGGGAAGGTCGTGTCCTTGGAATGAGTTCCTCGCTAGGAGTTCCAGGACTTTTTTGCGCGATGCGTCGAGGGAATGGAGACTCGCATAAAAGGCGGGGATCAAGGGGAGGAGAGGATTATTCTCGCATAGTCGTTCGACGGGTTCCCTCTGCAACGGGCGTTTTTACCGGCCTTCGGTTTTTTGTCATTTTTCCTCCTTTTTCTTTTATCGAATCCGCCCGACTGCTAGGTGGAGCGCTGTCAATTTCGGCAGTAGGTGAACGGTGTGGCGGCAGAACCAAGGCCGCTGCTTTGCAAGCATTGTGCAACACGTATGAGTCGAATGATTTCATGAATCCGGTACCAAGCTGGCCAGCCGGATTTTTACGTCGTTTTACGACACAGGAAATCCAGCTTCTCTCCTCGCTCTTTTGACACCTTTCTCGGTCGAGAGCGATCCCTTTATTGCCGACACTTCGCACCCACCTTGCCTTCCAAAGTTACACTACGGGCCATCCAGAAGCGCTTAGCTCTCGTTTTTAATCCCTTATCCGTTTTCCGATGCCAACGAGCACGTCCGTTAATTTCTCTCGAATCTCGCTCAATGACAAACCCGACAGAGCGCGACATACACACCGCGTCATTGTTGGATAAAAATAGGCAAGCAAGAACCGCGGTTGCGCGAGTGATCAGCTCCGAGGATTTCGGTTTAGGCGATGCATAGTTATGTTTTTTTTTTCTTTTCTTTTTTTTTATAATGAAGTAACTAATGGAGAAATAGTGGAATGGAAGAACTAGGCTGATGGACGTGGGGCGAAGACCAGTCGATGAGGCTTGGGGACCAAAGTGATACCACCCTCGCCTTCCAGGTCGATAGTCGATCCAGGTGCTAATCGCACCTTGAAGCTCTGAAGGATCTTTCCTGCGAAGAGGAACAGCAACATCCTGGCCAGCTCGTCACCCACGCACATACGTTTCCCTGAAAGCAGACGTTTCTTTTACCTAATTAGGTACACCCGACACCTTACCGCGCACCATATTTGCAAAATGACAATTTTTTATGTGGGACACCCACCGCTCTGGAATGGCAGAAAGGCCTCCGGCTTGGAGAGACTTCCATCCTCGGCTAGGAACCGCTGAGGTCTGAATTCCACGGGGTCGGGCCAGATTCTGGGGTCCATGTGGATGGCCCATTGCAAAGGGACCACCATGGTGCCTTTTGGTATGTCGTACTCGTCGATCTTGGTGTCCTGGACAAGAGTAACGCGTTTTAGAAGGCACTTTCGGGGTCGCCTTATCCTAGAGGGTTCCACGTCCCACCTCTATGGTGCCATGAGGGATTCCCAGGGGAACCACGCTCCTCAGTCGCTGAGCTTCCGCTATGGTGGCCTCCAGACGTGGCAACTGCGATCTGTCCTCCAGAGTTAGATCCTTCCCAGAAAGGACCGAGTCCATCTCCTCCTGGACCTTATCCTGAAAGAAACCGGCGATCAGTGCCCAGGACGATGTCCCTCGCGGGAAGGAAACGAGGTTTTTCCTCCGGCTTTTGTTTAATGTCACGAGAGTCCGAGGACGCAGTATCGAGGCGAGGAAAACTCTACCAGGAGGAAAACATTGCGGTACCACCACCTCCGACGCATTCATCACGTTCACTTCGCCTTGTCTCACTTGCAGTGCCAAGTCTTACGACATGATCTTCTTTTCAAAGCGCATTAACCGCGCGTTTTTACGCCCGATGCAGACAAGAGAGATCGATACCCGGCACGGTATTTCTCCCGGTCAAGCATGGAAATGTTAATCCTCGTTCTCGAGGATAAACGATTCCAGCGGTTGTATCTAGGTAGACAGGAAAGGGAGACACTGGATGGAGTTTTCCGTCCTGGCGTTTGAGTCTAGGCGATGGAAAATTTCCCAGGGAAAATAACCAGCGTCATAGCTCCTCGGCGGCCTCGCTGAAGGATGTTTCCGAGGAAGACAGAAGAGGGTTGCAGGATCAATTCAGAAGTTAGGCTTCCCAGTCGGTCTTGGAGGGTCAAGGCGATGATCACCTGTTCCTGAGGATACGCGGCAACGAAGAGCAGGATCCATCTTATGGTCGTCAAGCTGGTGTCCGTCCCCGCCCCGAAGAGGTCAGCCAGGAGATGAAGGTACTGTGGTTCGGTGAAGGATCCAGGATCCCCGATTTCGTGTCTAGCTTGCATCTCTCGAGCGAAGGCCGCAAGGAAGTTGTCCTCCTCGATTGGGTTCTTCTGGTGTTCCTGGATCATCCGCTTGTAGATCTCGTGGGTCTTCAGCTTGCCATCCACCAGGGACTCCATGGTCCTTCCGAAGTATGGGAGGAACCTGGCCAACGAGACACATACTTCCTGTTCGGATAACACCCCGAAGGACCAATATCCACCCTGGCGAGGGTGGAAGGAGTGGTTTACCTGAGGAACGGCAGGAAGTTCAGCGGTCCAGACACCCCGATGTGCTTGACGCCCTCTTCTTGAAGATGTTGCAGCCACCTCCACACACCGTCCTCCTCGTCGTAGACTTTGCCGAAGACCAACTTGTTCATCAGGTTCCCGACGCAGTGGTGCAGGGTGCAGAAGGGATCCACACCGGTGTCACCTGACCTCTCCCTGAGTTTCTGCAAATAAAATGAGCCTTCCTCTGAGACCCCGAATCCTGGACTCAAGATAGACTTATTAACCTCGTGTCGACTTCGTATCGGCTTCACATCGCACTTCACGTGAGCCACGGTGATCCTCATAGCTATGCGTCATATCGCACTCATTAAAGCCACATTGTGTCATCTAATCTGCATATCGTCATTGAATGACAGCGATATAAGTCTAAGGTGCTGCCAACGTACGCATACACCCAAGAGCAGAATATTTTTCTTAAAATGTTACTTAAATGTGGACCATCACGTGACAGCCACACAGATATGTAGCCGATGTTAATCAACCGCGAGGCGATGATTGTAGTCTATCTGGATTATAGGAAAGAACTGGATCGTTGATGGAATTATGGATGGTACCACGATGGCTTCTGAGACAGCCTCCAGGATTTTCTCCTCCATCTTGTCGCGTTTGGGTCCCAGCTTGACCATTCCAAAGTTCTTCAGGCAGCTCGTGACGAATCTGCGCTGCTCCCTCCAGAGTTTGCCCTCGGCGCATATCAGACCTGGAGAATAAATCGGAGAGTCGCCAACCGAAGAGATAATGGCCGGCAGATAAGGGGATAAAGAACGCGAGCCGGCTCTGAAGGAATTCCGCCGGTTTTCCTCCGACCCGCGGAAAAAGGTGCCAACGCGGGGAGGTGGAACGATTAACGTCATGCCGTAAGTAGGTGCAGCCACTGAACTCCTCGAAGGATAATCCGCGAATGAATAAACGATAAACTGTCCGCACCCAGGTGGGTGTACACCTGCGGAGGAAGACGGATTACGACCACGAGGACGGCGAAGTGAACTCGATAAGGCTCCTGAAATCGATTGGAGGATCCCGAGTGGTGTCCGTCATCGACACAAAAGGGGGACGAGTACGAGAGCCGAGTCCGGGCACCAAGGCCGAACAAAGAATGGAAATGACTCGGGGGTCGAGGCTGAGATCATTTCCAAAGTTCAATTTTCTCCCGGCCGATCATCGAATGGACCTCGAGACTCGAGGTCCATTCGATGATTCGGGAGCAACGGTGGTGGGTTTTGGTCTTAGGGTCGTTAAAATCATATCCGAGTGCGGAAAGGTTCTACCGAATTGGAAGACGCGCCGAGGAGTTTGCCAAGATGGCGGCGCCGTCGGCCAGGCTCCATTGCCGCGCGTGCAAGAGGTCGTTGGTATTTAGCGACACCTATGCACACTCGGCGACTCGGTAAAGAAGGTGCTCCTCTCCCCCAAAACCGCATATTATACTCGTTAGTCGAGTCCAGCCCAGTCGGGATCGCTCTTTTTTGCCTGCATCTTTATGCGAGGACGGAACGGCATAATCTACGACAAGGCTGCGCGTCGATCGATTACCTTAAATTAACTTGAATTAGCTCGGGCTAAAGAAGCGCGCCCGATTTACGACTTACATAAAGCGACAATCGTAAGGAATTTAAACGTCCATACGCCGCCGAGTTTACAGATCCCTAAAAAGCCAATTTTCTTCCCCGTTAAACGGCGCCCCCTGGGCCCCTTTGCGTTTCGCGAAATGCGATATGAGGAAATAACGAAATAGCGAAATATAAATATATGTATTAAATGGACTGCTCTTCGGAAAATCCGAATTAGCGTGATCCTAAGAGATATCCGCAAGCGAGGTCGCCCTCGGAGTCGCAGGTCGGGCTTTCGTCCTTATTTTCGCGCACACCCGTAAATGACGACAGCTCGCGGACGAGAGGCGATCCGCAGAATCTTGATGATTGCGCGCTCGCCGAGATTATCGAGGTTTACGAGGAGTCACGCGAGAGGAATACCGATGTCGTCGTTACACGCGAACGGGTCCACGACGACACCGTTCCGATCGATCCGCCCCTCTCGAAGCGGCCACTTGAGATTCCTGGCCGGTCCTAACGAGAGACCGGTAGGTCAGTGTCGTATTTAAATAGTCCCATCTACGACCACCTGGACCGGGAACGGAAGTCCCAGGAGGTCTACCTTTCCATTCCCCGCCAATCCCCTGAGTCTACGCCAAAAGGTGTGAAAAATAACCATGCCCATCCGAAGCTCGCTACGCACAGGGACGCGCCGAGCGGCGGCCATCTTGGATCTTCCTCGAACACAAAAACGAGCCAAAACCCGCGACAACGGTTATCCCAGCATGCAATCTGCAATTTCAGGGTCCTTAAAAAGAACCTGGACCAGAATTCTTGATATTCACGCGTCTGGATCATCTGTACGCTCCCGAAGGAACGAAAATTGTAGGCTCCGTCCGCGTCTTCGCGGATCCTTGGCCCGTCCCAGCGACGCCTTCCAAGATGGCGGCGCGTTGCGCAACCGGCGTCCCTTTTCGTCAGCCGAAAGGTCTCCCGGCTAGTGGGATTAGATCCTGGCGGTTAATTTATCCCTCGGCTGGGAGGTTCGCGCGGCTGGAAATGCCGGAAACTCGAGAGGTCTTGGCCTTCCCGAGCGTTGCATAATCCGCGCGCGAGGCACCCCCCAGAAAATGGCGGCGGTCGCGAGCCGCGAGAGGACGGCCGCGGGCCGCGTGACGTCACGGCGGCCGGCGACGTTCCCCAATTCGCGAACCGCCAGAAATAAACTCGAAGGAACTGGTCGCACGAGCCAAAGGGGGAAGAGAGGTTAGGAAATTGACGGCCCCGCCGGGGAGTCCAAGGACGCGCGATGCACTTCGCGCGCGGATTAACCGGCGACGCACACACGCGTGCACCCGCGGCGGATTCCGCAGGGGCCGATCGTCCCCTGGGGCAGGTCCACCTGTTTGACCGGCGGATCGGGCACGAGTCTTCGATTTATCGCCGAAAAGAGCCCCGAAGAGCCTCGAGGTGCATTCCTGCCCGCGCATGCGCGGGACGGAGCCCTCCGATGGCCATTGACCAGACCTCGAGGAATTCGCCTGCTTTCGGATTCCCCTCTAAATCGAATCGCTCTATCCCCCGGGAAACCGCCTCCGAGGTCGAAGGCACCTCTCGGCAAGGATCGGGCAAGGATCTCTGAAAATAAAAGACCGGCCCGAGGCTCCTTCGGCGGGGATTAAAGGAGGCTCCGGGGCCCGATTTATCGCCATAGTCCTGGCCCAAACGCATTCCTTCCCAAGCTTCGTCCAACGGCTCGCCAAAGCCGGACTAACCCTCCGGAGAGCGTTCTCGCCTCCGAGTTCGGTGAATTTCCACGATGGACCGAAATCCGTCGAGACTCGTTACTCGGCGTAAGTTTCCACCAGGTCGGTAAACCCCTCCTGGGTCCGGAGAAAGCGAAAGGGCGAAGGAGATCGGCAGGAGAGAAGCGGCAGTTTCCAGGGTATCGAGTGCAAGGGCACCCTGGACCGGTAGATTTCCAGTTAGCCGATCCCTCGTACCATCCTCCGAGGTCTTTCGAAAGTGGATTCGAGTCGCTCCGGAAAGCTTGAGACGACGCCGAGTCGAGGTCCCTGAGAACGTCTTCCTGGTCGGCTTGGTCTCTTTTTCGGCGATCTAGTCCGTTTATGGGCTATTTCAAGTCCCGGATAACGCCTTCCTGGTTCAACTCGACTCGTTTGGGAACCCGCTCGATTATTGGCGGTTAATCGTAATCTAACGAATTTTTATCGGTGCTTGGCAAAGAGCGACGACGCATAGCGTCGCGTGGACGAGAGGCCGTCGGCCCGTCCTTGCTGGACTAACTGTAACTCTCCCCACGGATGCGGAGCAGAGCCATCGATGTTCTCCGGGACTTCCTTCAAGGAGACCCGATAAAAGTGAGAGTCCCTCGGCTAACACCACTACCTGCCTGACTGACTAACTGACTAATCGACTTCGCCGCCAGTCTCTTCCCTCTCCTTTTTCTCTCTCTCTCTCGGCGAGATCCTACCGAGGCAGCCTCGCCGATTCACTCGGTCGTCCATCTCGGATACGCTGCGAACGCTGCAGCGACCTAATCGACCGGCTGATGGATTGGCTAATTCCTATGCGGAGACCCAGCGGAAAGAAATGGGCAAAAAGAGAAGGAAGCATCTGACGGAAAGCCCGGTCCCCGGGGAAAATTTCTACCCTCGGGAATCCTCGATTTCCGTGCCCTTGGAGTCCTAGGAGATCTTCGCTTCCTGAAAAGGACCCTCGTTAAATCTCTTTCTGGGCTCTGGTGCCCCAGAAAATCTCTTGCTTATGAGACCTTGTCTTCCGAGAACCCTAAAAAGGATCCATGTCGGGTCGCATTTTGGGTTCCGGTGCTCTGAAAGTTCCTACCTTCGGGATTTTCAATCCTCCCAGGTTCATTACATCTAAGTTTGGTCCTGGGAGCTCTTCGCTTCCTAGGAAGGACCCTCGTTGGGTCGCTTTTTAAATTCTCTTGGTTAATTTGGTACCCTTGACATTTTTACTCCCCCGAGGTGTACGCGAGGATTTGTCGCATCCTGGGAAGGATTTTCCTTGGGTTGCTTTTTAAATTCTGTTGGTTAATTTGGTACCCTTGACATTTTTACTCCCCCGAGGTGTACGCGAGGATTTTTCGCATCCTGGGAAGAACTCTCGTCCTTAGGTCGCTTTTTAGGCTCTAGCGTTACAAATGGGTCTTCCGGTACTCATGGACCCCCAATCGTTCGCTTTCTTCCCAGATTTACGGTTAGCACGGGTCCGGTACGACTGCGCCTCGTAACGGCCCGTAACTACGTAACGCGATTCCTCAGGGTCTCCCTGCGGTAACGCGCAGGTGCTCTTCCAGTCCGGTCCATTATAGTGCGGCGCAGCGGTACGCTAGTATGCACACGACCGGCCTCGAACCCGCGAATCCCTTGCGCAACCGTTTACGACGACGTAATCGAACGGATATACGCGCTCCGAGCTCGAGCGACGACACCAAGTGCCTTTTTCCCAAAGGCGTTGCCCGGATGTCTCCATCACCTGCGATATTTCTCCTGGAATTCCCGTCCATTTCTTCATTTCGACGGTGCAGTCGAAATCAAGTGGGCCCACCTTCCATTAATTGGCACTATCCACCTGATACATCCTAATATGTTCCACCGTGAATACGGCGGATTAAGGACACCCAAGGATTTAGGGTGCACCTTCACCGTAGGTTCCGCAAGTTTCGAGGTGAACCAGGCACCTTCTCCGCCAAGGTGCATTTTTTCCAGGTTTTGGGTAAATTAGCCGATATTCTATCCCATTGTGCTTCTTCGTCCTGGATTTGGTAGACCTTTTGTCTGATCAGCCATTCCAAGTACCCCTAACCTCAAACGGAGTTCGCGGGCCGCTATAGTAGGCGGAAGGTGAAACCGGCGCCTGGCGTCGTTCAGGTTCAATGTTACTCTCGCTTTCGGTTGGATTCCCAGAAGAGCGTGTATTAATAGTGGTGGGCCCGCCACGTGGGTCGTTTCCGAGCAAGCCCCACGTCCTTCCGACCCCTTCTAGGAAAAGGCCCCTGGCGGGCCTTCCCACCCTCGATCCATCATCCTCCGTTGGTTATCCTTTATGGCGGTCCATGGTTGGCCCGGGCCCAAGAATGCGGAGAGGCGAGTGCGCCTCGTAGGGCTGCCTTCGTTAATTCGCTCTTCTTCGGCCCCCTCGAAGCAGACGGGGGTCGGGGAATCCGCCAGAACTTTCGCCACTTTGCGCCTCGAAAGACTCGGCGGAATGTCGTTTCCGCCCGAGGGGCCCATGGCCCAAAGAAGCGTCTCGAATCTCCTCGGATATTGGACACCTTCCGGCTCGACCCACTTCCCTGGTCGGGCGGAAGAGGTTCTCCAAAATGGCGGCCGCACCCACCCTCCGGCGTCTTGGTCCCGTCCGTGACGCCGCTCTACCGAATTGCATAATGCAATCCTCGAGCGATTGCGCTCTGTAATAACTAAAATTCCGTTACGCGCCGACCGGAAGAGGTTCTCCAAAATGGCGACCGCAACCACCCTCCGGCATCTTGGTCCCGTCCGTGACGCCGCTCTACCGAATTGCATAATGCAATCCTCGAGCGATTGCGCTCTGTAATAACTAAAATTGCGTTACGCGCCGGCCGGAAGAGGTTCTCCAAAATGGCGGCCGCAACCACCCTCCGGTATCTTGGTCCCGCCCACGACGCCTCGCTACCGAATTGCGTAATGCAATCCTCGAGCGATTGCACTCTGTAATAACTAAAATTGCGTTACGCACCGGCCGGAAGAGGTTCTCCAAAATGGCGGCCGCAGCCACCCTTCGGCATCTTGGTCCCGCCGGCGACGCCGCGCCGCCGAATTGCGTAATGCAATTCTCGAGCGTTTGCGCTCTGTAATAACTAAAATCCCGTTACACATCGGGCGGAAGAGGTTCTCCAAAATGGCGGCCGCAGCCACCCTTCGGCATCTTGGTCCCGCCCGCGACGCCGCGCTACCGAATTGCATAATGCAATCCTCGAGCGACGCGATCGTCCCGCGTTATCGCATTGCGCTCTATAATAAATTAAATGTCGTTACGCGCGGGCGACATTATCCGCGGCGCGGCGGCAACCAGTTTACCGACTGCATAATAAATAAGCCGCGACCATAAAGGCCTCATAACGTGCCGGTGTAATCACGGGCTCCGCGGCGAGGCACGCGCCTGCGGCCTCCTCCACCAGGAGGAGGTACCCCAGGAGGGAGCGGCCACCACCGCTCGTAAATCATCCGCTTTATCACCGCTTTATCACCGAGCCATTAGAGAAATAGAGACGTTAGGAGCGAGAAGCACGTGCCTACGGCCGCGCTCCTCCCCGATTCCGTCCTCGGCCTCCGGTGGCGTCGAAGGCCTCGGGCCCACTTAGGCCCGAGGAGTGACTTCGGAACACCGCGATTTCTCGATTATCTGGAGGTTGGCGCTTGCGGGGGATAAACCGCTGATTTACGGCTCAAGTTCAACGTCCATCGGACCGCCAAGAGCGCCGGTTTTCTCGCCGCGTCGCGGCCGGACCGCACGCGGACCATTACCACTAGCAATTAGGTGCGCTCGATTCCTGGAAACCTCGAAAAGTTTCTTTCTCCCCTCTCCCCCGGATATAGTCGGCCGTCCGACTCTAACCGGCGATCCTTAATCCTCGGTTATCCTCCCCACACCTTTGGAAAATAATTACAGTTAATGAGGGTGTTTTCTTTTTCTCTTTTCCTTTTTTAAGGGTTTTCTTCTACCGCCTCTGGGCAAATATGAGCGTCTCGGCGCCTTATCCGTTAGCTCTTATCCTCTCGTTATCTCTCATCTTGGCTCCTGATTGCACTTCGAGGTTGTTAGTCATCCCGATGTGGTGCCCCACGGTCGATCCCGTACAAGTCCTTCTTCGCGGAAGGCGTGGCATTACCCCTCCTTCTCTTTCCGGAGCAGTGAATGGAGCAGCGGGTGGGGGCGATGGTGGGGGAAGAGGAGGATGTTCAGGAGGATACGTGGAGGGGGATGCATGCACTACAGGCCAAACTAGAAAGGAACTCAGTGGCACTCGAAGAGCGCCACGCGACGCATCGCGCGCTGCGACGCGCCGACGTCTTCGGAATTCTCGATCGACCGCCCACGGAAGGAAAGGAAATTATGAAACCTCAATAGACACCCGACAAAGGCGCAAATGAACCCCTTCCACCCCTTTCCCACCTTAGACGCGGATTCTGGCAGGAACTAATTTTTCTGAAAATTGTCAGAATTTCTTAAAGTCATTTTAGAGGTAATTCCGAGGTCGCACGGGATTCATTGTGTTTCCGTCGAATTTTAGGAGAAGAATGAAAAGCTGGCCGGATAGAAAGTCCCGGGAAGTACGTCCCCCGAGTGGAGAGTCCGAAAAGGGCCTTATGCGCGGCTCCTGGGCCCCCGCGAGGTGGGATTTGGATTTCACAAAAGAATCCCCGGTTTTCACCTGCCGATAAGCTTACGGTCGATATTTATAGGTGCCGGCGCCGATAAGCCGAAGGAAATGAATGGAGAAATCACGGGGCCATTGACACCGGCTGATTCTGGCGCCTCGTAAACACCGGGCCCGAAGCTTTCGAAACCGGTGCTGGAACACTTTTGGGCCTGACTGCTGCCGGGCTGAATTACCGGCGAACCGGCGACACCTTAACGGGCCGGTCCGCAGAACTGCAAGCTCCTCGATAAAATGACTCCTAATTTAACCCAACCACCGAATCTACACCTCGCGACATTGTTCTAGGTTCTTATCAAAATGGGAAGGCCACTTCCGTTGAAAAGAAATTTCTGGCCCAGAAGATACCGGGTAAAAGAGGTCGCCAGGGGTTGATTTTCAACAATGTCTACTTACCGTACCCCTGCATGATGCCATGAGTGAGATAGAGTGGGGCCCTCCCCGAGAAGGCATCTTTTGCGAGCACCTGTCTTATCAGTCGAGGTTCGGCCAGGAGAACGGTGTAAACGGATCCCATTTTCAGGCCGCAGATAGGGCCATATTTCCTGGAGAGGGCAGTTAACGATTCATGGGGGGCTTTCGGGTCTATCCAGGGTAAGTACCCCAAGACCGGAAGTCCCCATGGTCCCGGAGGCAAGTGCAGCGTTCTCTTGTAGCGGTTCAGGAAGAACAAAACCAAGATGGCCAGTCCCAGGGCCAAATACGCGAATACCATGGTCTTTCCTAGAAAGGATAATCGTTATTTCCCGCTCTATAAATCTATATTCGTCGATAAAGCTCATTGCTCCTACGCTTCTGCATTTTTAATGCGAACAAACGCACCCTTTTTGGGGTAACGTGCCAAGAGTGAGTTCAGCGCCGCTGTGGCGGGTTCTGGAAGCTCTAGGCGATGCACCGGTCACGTGGTCGACCACGTGGCGGGCCCAGAATGGCGTGGCTGCGCTTTCGAGGTCCGGTTTTCCGCGAATTTCGGCCCGACCGACCACTCGGACAACGGAAATGAATCGTTCCTCTTGGGTTCTGAAAAATATAGCGGCGTCGCGGCGAATGTATCTCAAGATGAAGCGTTCTGGACGTGCGTCTCGGGAAACACCGGCGGAGAGACGCGGCGCGGGCCTCACTGGGCCCGGCGACGTCAGCGCCGCGAGCGGGCCCCGGGGAACCAAAACCCGCGCGAATTTCAAACCTGGACACCGCACGAGAAGATAGATCTTAAAATGATTACTTCTTCCTTCCGCAAAGACCCTACAAGGTTCTTGGCACTGTGCAAGCAGACCAGCAAACTATCCCGACCGACGAAGTGGAGACAACTGGGCCTGAAAACCACCTCTCGATTTCCAAGGTAAGCTAAACGCCGACCGCGTTCGTTTGAATACCAAATCTCCCTGTTTTGTGTCGCCGTCGATGTTTATCCCGTCCGATCGGGCCCGATCGGTCCCGATCAGGGCCCAGGCTCGCCCCATGACGTGACTATGGGGCCCCTGGGAGACTCAAAGTCAAGGCTGAACCCCTGCTTACCATAGGTCGGGATTTCTCCGACCACTCCTCTCGTCTACCATCCTATCGCTTGTATCTTCCTCGCGAAGTGCCCTTCCTCTCCCCCATAAGGCCCAAAATTCCGAGGGCTCGCTATAGTCCTTCCACTAAAAAGAAACGTTTAAAGGAAAACCGTCAGGCCAGTTTTCGAGAAATGCGGCCTTAGCCTCTCCACAACGACGTATACACGCGGAGTGTGCACTTCCAGGAGTAACGAGTGACGAAAGTAAGAGTGACTCTTCTCGTTTAGAGTCGCGGCATTAATGGCGCCTCAGGAATACGTCCACGCACGCACGCACGCGTGAGGGTCGGGCCCCGATGGGGCCAACGACCTGCCGCCCTTACGGGGCCCCATGCCGTGTCGCCGTTAATGCAGTGCCCTCGCTTATCCCGGGCCCACTCGCGATCGGGCCCTTCCTTATCCCTGAAGGCTGAGCCCCTGCGAGAGGGCCCACACTTTGGAGGCGCCACTGGTCACGTGCCGAAGGGCCCTTCCTCCTTAACCCCTTAACTTGCGCGCTCGAGATAATTCAAGCGGCGTTGTATCTTATGCTACTATAATTTTTCACCCTGAAATATAATCGAGAATTTTATTTGTTTGCCAAGACAATGTTCTAGTGTTTTTTTTTACATCAAAAAAATTGATTTTTTTTTGCCGATTTTTTTAAAAAAATCTGTGCGTTAAGGGGTTAATCGCGGATTCTCGAGGAGGTTACCTTCCTCATCTCAAGTTAGGAGAGATATTTCTCGTCAATCTCATTAGGACCCATTATCGTCATTACTAAGAGCTCTCCCTAATCGCAGGATCTTCGAGAGGTTAGGTCCCTTCTCCTTCAGTAGGGCCGAAATTCCTTGCAGATCTCATTTGGGCCCATCAACGCTTACATCTCACGGGCCTTTCGGGCCCAATTATTGATAACCAGCGTCTCAGGCTCGGGCCAGGGCTGGGGATGCGAGTGCTCGCAGGAGCGAGGAAAGTAACCGGCGGGCCCCGGATCGACGAAAGCGATCCGGGCCCCCCCTTTGGGCCCCGGGATCAGAGAAACGGCCGGCGGGAAACGGAGCGACGAAAACCGCGGACTTTCGAGCGGTCGCTAATAAATTAAACGGCCCTCTCGCCCCTCTCGGTTTAAAAGCGTTTGTATTCAGCGAGCGGAGGAGCCCGATGCGAAATCACTCCCGAGCGGCTTCGTGCGCTGCGCCGAGCTGCCTTTTTCAGGTTACGTTTGCGAAGCCAAAGACCCGGCCGCGACCGTTCGAGGACGCGATTGGGAAACGACCGACCGCCGGTAGCCACTTTCGAGGGGGCAGAAGACGGAGGCAACCGGGTCGCAGCCGGAGCCACTGAACTCCTACGTGAACGTTCTTTCGGAAGACCTTAGACGAGGGCACTCGCCTCGGCGCGGCCGCAAATCGTCTTTTCCTCGATAAAACACTCCGCGGCGACGTTAAGCGCCGTTTTCATCGAGGATCGGGAACGAATTTGCAAGATCTCGAGGACGGGCCCCCGGGCCCGTTTCTCCCCCGAGGGCCTCCAGGGCACCATCGCGAGCTACGCCTCTAGGAAGTGGAGGTTTACCCGGGTTCTCGGAGGTGCAGGGATTATTAACCGTGTCTTCTTGAAAATTCGAGTTGGTAATTTTTCAGGGAAGGGAATCGCCGGTCCTGTTAAGGCTGCCAGAAAGTGCACGAGTCTCGATCTTCGGATGCTTTCGAACAGCGTGTACCTCGGGGGAAAGGAGCTTTTTCTCTTTCCAACACTTCCGCAACTTCGTGCTCTTTTCTCGGGATGTAAGCCCCCCTTAATCTTCGTCATCGGCCCTGGGGACGGATTTTGGGTAAACGCTCCGAGAGACCGAGATGAACGATGGCCCTCGGGATTTTTTACATTGACTCGAGGGAATCGGTTCGCCGGGAGTTTCGTTGACATTTCTGGAGACATCGGCTCCTCCGGATATGTGCTCTGCCAGATTTATCTTCCCCACTTCCTCGGTACCGTCGACAGGGCCTATGTAAGGCTGGCGGAGCAAAGCCACGGCAACCGGGCGGCAAAGGTGCCGATGGCAGTGAACTCCTCTCGATTCCGATTCCAAAAGGACGTGGCGCTCGGCTTTTATTTCTCCTCTTCGTCTGCAGTTTAATCTTCCCTTCTCTCTTCTGGCAACTTCTGTCTCTCGTTCACCTTCGTCCTCTTCCTGCCTGACGATCATCTCACCTTCGCATTCCTCCCTGTGCTCCTCTCTGGAATTATCCTGGAAGGAGGGCCATTACGGGGACGACATCCCAGTAATCGGCACGGTTTTAACAGAATGTATTCACTTATCGCGATGCGATCCCGCCTCCGAGTGGTGGGAACGCAAAATCCGAGGAAACGAGCGAGAAAGTCGGGAAAGGAAAGCGAAAGGACATGCTGGAACGATCGAGGTCCTAAAAGGACCCTGGGAAATGAGTAGGACCCAAGCCACGGGATCTAAATTTCTCATCCTAGGACGATTCCACCAGGTCCACTTGGTCCCCATCATCCCAAGCCGACCATCTCCGGCATTTACTCTCTCCTTGTTAAATCCAAGAATGCAGGCCGCACGATCCAGCACTCGCCTCGATGCCATCAGCGATCCTCGATCCATTCTTGATCGGAATGCGATCGACGACCCAGGCGTCGCAGTTCCCAGCAGATGGCCGGGGCATCATCGGCGATTAGTGGAATCGAGATCATCGCTCATCAGCGATGCGTGTTCAGGACGAGGAGGCAGCATCTACAAGGAAGTGGCCTAAATGCACGATCACCTGCATGCACTTACCTGCAATTGTCCGAGGCCTTTCGACCTAAATGACAAGGCTTCTTCTCGGAGTCGACGTACAGCCGACTAATCGGCTCTTCTTTCCGAAACCCGAGGAAGAGGGAACGCCCGGTATCTCCCGTCTCTCCCCCCGGTGGCTCGGATTGTCGGCCGAAAAGGCCCACGGCTGATATCCTTAGTTGCAGCTGCAGGGCCGCCGATTACTGCAGACTGCAGTCGTTGCACTCGAGCGGGTGCGAAGGTAAACTGGAGGTAGAAAGAGGCTCTCGTGCGCCCGCCAGGTTGCATCACACGAGGCCACGAGGAGGTCGCAGGAGCGCGTCGCTCCGAATTTCGCGGCGACGCTTCCGGGTGTTCCCCCAGGTAGTTCGCGGCCCCCTGGACGGGGTTTAGGGTGGCCCATGGGACTAGGAATCGAAGGTGGGTTCGAAGACGACCGGTGACGTCACCCTGGAGACGGGCGCATCTCGCATGGGTGCAGTCGCACCGGGCGACGATCAGGTGATACGTGCAACGACCGGTAAAGGTCATTCGCGACGTTAAATCTGCATTTACGGCGATCTCGTCTTTCCCGTGGGTCCCGGTCCCCCCGGGACTCTTGGACGCAGGGTTGGAGCCAGTGGAGAGAGAGGTCGGTATGCCACGGAGAGGCGAGGGAGAGAGACGGAGCCAGAGGGGGGCGCGAGGCCGGCGGAGGCGCGAGAGGAACGCCCGGCAGAGTTCGACGTCTCTAATGCGGCTGATCACCTCGCCTAAACCCGGTCATCGTCCCGCTCAGGGGGAAGGGAGAGGGAGAAAGAAAGGAAAAGAAAGGATATCCTCGGACCTTTCGAAATTCTTCGCGGATCGGCCGGCTTCGAGGGGGGAAAAAATGCCCTCCTTTATTCCCCGAGGCCGTTACAAGATCCCGGGGCCCGGAGGCGCAGCGCGCGAGGACCCACCGAGAGACGCACAGGTGGAGAGGCGAGCGAGGTTCCTTCCGATTTCTCTGCCCGAGACCGCTCCCCTGCGGAGATAAGTCGGTCACCCGGGAAGTCTAGACCTAGGCAAGGGCCGCCTCGGCCGCGTCCCCCTGGCCGAACGAAAATCGGTCGACACCGCGGTAGACGCGACGCACGAGCCTCTTCAGCCTGATTTTCTTTTGAGTGACAAATTTAACATGATCCTGATTTAATTAATCCCTGCAACGAATTTCCGCTAAGTCCCTGCGGAGATCAGGCGAACGCTCCCCTTGAATGACTGAGTCGAGGTTAAGGTGGCATTAGGAAGCGCTAATTAGGTTTCGAGTGCGGTTCCGCTCGGTGTTCCGTCCTCGCCGCGTCGCCGCGCCGCGCCCTGTGCGACGCCCTCACCCGGCCGGACGAGGGTGGCGCACGCG